TCAAATACGTGCCAGACTATTGGGCCTTCCGCGCCGTGGCCGACACCGATTTGTTTCGATGGCGAGCAGAGCTGGAGAAGCGGCTCGACGCGCTGCACGATGCCACAGCCAGCGGCATCTTCGGAGGCGCTGTGTCCGTAGAAGACGACCTCGCCCGCCACGTGGCATGGTCGGAGGGCCGGCGGCAAGCTCCCATGACCGCTGCAGAGGTCGAGGACTTGCGGCAGATGCTGTCTCTGCGCGGAATGCTGAGCGCCCCGCACTACGACGACAGGCCGACAAAGCTTCCCGCCTCGAAGCTTGGCGGCGGCCGCAAGCGCCGCAAGACCATGCGGGCAATGTCCGCGGCCGAGTACACGGCAGACCCGGAAGAAGGCCGCCAGGCCTACGAGGATGAAGAAGACCTCGTGCAAAAGTACGGGGACTTGTCCATGCCTGATGAGCTACCGGACTCCGAGCCGGAGTTCTTCGGAGAAAAGTTTTTAGAGGAGCAGTGTTCCGACTGCGACTACGAGTAAGGGGCCGCTGCAGGCCATAGGTGGCTTACTTGCGCATCTTTCGGCAGGCTGCAAGCCATAGGAGCGCGCGCAGACAGCGGCCGCTGCGCTTGCTGTTTCGAGCAGCGCGCGACCTTCACCTCGACAAAGCAGCCTTGTTGCCGCGCGTGACATGGCGCAAAGCTGCGCAACACAGGGGATTGCTTATGTGGTCTCCTTTGAGCAAGCTGCACCCTCCTTGGGCATCCTTTTGTGTAGCCAGCACTGCTGGCCGCTGCGCTTGCGGTTTCGAGCGGCGCGCGGCCTTTACCTTGACAAAGCAGCCCTGTTGTTGCCGCGGTCATTACGCATGTTTGTCGTGGTTAGCGTGGTCCCCTTTTCGTAGCGGCGGCAGGCGCGCGCACCGGTGAGGGCTGTGGGCGGGCGCCGGTGCCGCGCGGCCGACCGGCGTGTCAGGTCCTTTTGTTTGTTTCTCTTCGTTTCGATTCGTACTGGCCGCTGCAACAACAGGGCAGACGCCGCGCGAGTCTGTGAAAACGACCGAGGGGGAACGCGACTGGCAGGGACGACGGGAGCGCACGCGCGAGAATGACTCAGTAAGGCTGAGGCAGCAAGGGCAGGGGGACCGTTGTTATTTCCTCTAGATCGCAGCTAGGTTGTTGCTGTGACCTCTGTTTTTTTCTTGCAAGGCCAGTTGTTGTACATGTTTCAGAGGGCCCTGTTTCGGCGATTTTGGGGGGAGTTATCACTGCTTTGTCGAATCTGGCTATGTTGCTTTCATCAGTGTCTCAACGTGTTCGTGCGACGTTCTCTGCGGGACAAGAAAACGCACCAATTGGTTGATTTCTGATGCTAGTGATCCCATTGAAGTAGGTGGCCAGTTGTTGTGCATGTTTCAGAGGGCCTTGTGATTTGGAGATGTTGGGGGGAGTTTTCGCCGTTTCGCTTCTGCAGCTTTTTGCATTGACGTCTGCAGCTGTTTGCATTGAAGTATCCAAGCAGCATGAAGACAAACATATAGGGTATAAATAAAGTCCAGCGGGCAAGACCGCGCGCAGCGAGCGTGCCGTTTCGGGCTGCACGCAAGAGCGCGAAGCTGAGCGGGCATGCTGTGTCGGGCCGCGAGCAGCGGGCGTGCCATTTCGGGCCGCGCGGTAGGATGAGATACACAAGAGTTCCCGTCCGGCGGGGGGGGGGGGCCTGCCGGAGAAAAAGTATCGTGCTGCGGGCGTGCCGTTTCGGGCCGCGCGCGAGAGCGCGGAGCCGAGCTAGCGAGCCGTTTCGGGCCGCGCGGTAGGAGGGCGCGCCATGTCCGGCCGCGCACGAGGATAAGAAAAAAAAGCTCCCGTGCGGCGGGGGTAAAATTGCTGGGCACACACTTAAGTAGGCGGAGCGCGTAGGGCCAGCCGGGGAAAAACTACCGCGCTGCGAGCGTGCCGTTTCGGGCCGCGGGCAGCGGGCGTGCCGTTTCGGACCGCGCGGTAGGATAAGACAAACAAAAAAGTTCCCGATCGGCGGGGAAAAAACTGCGGGGCATAAAGTTAAGTGGGCAGAGTGCGTAGGGTCGGCCGGAGAAAAACTATCATGCTGCGGGCGTGCCGTCTTGGGCCGCGCGCTAGGATAAGCAAAGCAAAAGTTCCCGTCCGGCTGGGATAAAAAATGCTGGGCATAAACTCGGGTGGGCAGAGCGCCTGGGGCCTGCCGGGGAAAAGCTATCGCGCTGCGAGCGTGCCGTGTCGGGCCGCGCGCCAGAGCGCGAAGCCGAGCCAGCGTGCCGTTTCGGGCCGCGGGCAGCGGGCGTGCCGCTTCGGGCCGCGCGCTAGGATAAGCAAGACAAAATCTCCCGATGTGCGGGCAAAAAATATAATTGCGTGGTATAAAGCTAAGTGGGCAGAGTGCGTAGAGTCAGCCGGAGAAAAGCTGTCGTGCCGCGGGCGTGCCGTCTTGGGCCGCGCGCTAGGATAAGAACAGCAAAAGCTCCCGTCCGGCGGGGACAAAGCTGAGGGGCGTAAGCTCAAGTAGGCGGAGGGCGTGGGGCCAGCCGGAGAAAAAGACCACGCTGCGAGCGTGCTGTTTCGAGCCGCGCGCCAGAGCGCGAAGCCGACCTAGCGTGCCGCTTCGGGCCGCGGGCAGCGGGCGTGCCGCTTCGGGCCGCGCGCTAGGATGGGAAAAGCAAAAGTTCCCGATCGGCGGGGAAAAAAACTACGTGGTATAAAGCTAAGTGGGCAGAGTGCGTAGAGTCAGCCGGAGAAAAACTGTCGTGCCGCGGGCGTGCCGTCTCGGGCCGCGCGCTGGGATAAGAGAAGCAAAAGCTCCTGATCGACGGGGAAAAAAAACTGCGGGGGTGCTTAGCGATTTGGAACTATTGGAGCTATATATCAGCGAAGACATTGGCTAACAGAACCAAACTCGAGCCTAGCAAGTTAACCTTTGAGATTTCTGGCGCCGTCACATTTTGAAAGCGAACAGAAGCTGCGGCACCCCAAGAACTTTTGCTGGGCACTTCCGTTGGTGCGCTCCACCTCTGCCTGGTTGAGGTTCCAAAGATAACCTTTTTGCTTATTTGCAAGCCAGGCACCCCAGACCTGCGCTTGCCGAGCTAGCGTGCCGTTTCGGGCCGCTTGTGGCGGACACGAGCGGGCGTGCTGTCTTGAGCCTTGCGCAGCGAGCGTGCTACTTGGACACGCCATGTGCCGCCGTGCCGTTTCGGGCCGCGCGCGCGCGCAGCGACCAAGCGCTGGCCATGGAGTAAGAAACGCGAGTGAAAAGCCGAGAATGTTTGTTTTGCTGACCGGCGACTTTGGTCTCGCTGGCGACGCTCGGCGCTTTTTTGCCGGCGGCCGAAGCGAAGAAGTTCTCTCACGAGGACGTGTGGGAGGCACCGTTCTGCACGCTGGCTCACCTGCAGACCTTGTCCCGGGTGCCGGAAGACTCTTGGCACTACACAGGCTGCGCCACTTGCTTTCGCAAGACTTGCGACAAACACGACGAAGCTGGCGTCCGGCCGTGCTACAGCCTGGAGGCTACTGTGTGGGATCACACGGCCACGCTGGACGCGAGGATCTTTACCAAGTGCGTCGACGAAGTGCTGCGTGCTGCCTTGGCGTTTCGGCCGGGCGACGCGGTACAGTCGCGAGAGAATGCGGAGCACGAGATCCGAGCCCGCAAGTGGGCTGTGCGCTTCGTCGTGGCGCACGACGAAGCGTACTCTGGACCGACTGGCTCTCGCGCCGCGCGCAACACCTTGCAAGTGGTGCATGTTCGCGAGGCTCCGCTTACCTACTCGGGCTCAGCAAAGCCACTCCTGTGCTTGCGCGCGGCCGCCTCACTCCCGGGCTGCCCATGCATCTACTTGTCAGACGCGAACTTGGATGACGCAGGGCAAATTACGGCAGGTGAGGATCTGCCAGTCCAGTACGCGGAGCTCTTACTGCGAGTGACGGCCAAAGATCCTGTGCAGGAGTGCAACGAAGCCGAGCGCGGAGTGCGAATCATCTTCGAGTGCGCAGACGCCACGCAGCCAGATATCCGCGCGGACCTCATGTGGGTGGTCAGCGTCAGAGACAGCTTGGCCATCGCGCGACAGCGGCCTGACACGCTGTTGCGGGTGGTTGCAAAGCCTCATGTTCTGTTCGACACGGACGGCGAGCCTTCCTTGCGTCACTGGCAGGTGATCTTCCAGTTTCCGGCTGCGGACGGAGATATCGAGCCGTTTGCCCGCCGTCGGGCGTGGCAGCTTTCCTTGGACTCCCAGCCCAGCCTTGAGATCAAGCGTCTTCAGGAAGACGCCATGGCAATGACTCCGTTGACTAAGGTTGCCAGAGTAAAAGAGGCTTTGACCTCGCCCAGCTTTCGTGCTTGATGACGCGCGTGCCGTTTCGGGCCGCGCGTTCGTGTCGGCGCGTGCCGCGTCGGGCCGCGCGCTCGCGCGGACTGCTGCACCGCTGAAGCAGACGAAGAGAAAAGCCTAGCTTTTGCGCTTGACACGCGTGCCGTTTCGGGCCGCGTGCTCCAGCCCAGACTACAGCACGGCTTGGGCAGACGCAAAGAAAAGGCGCTCTCGGGGGGGAGGGAGGAGAGTTGAACTTGAAGCGCTCGTTGGGAGCTTTGGAAAGGGAAAGAGAAGAAGAGAGAGAGAGAGAGAGAGAGAGAGAGAGAGAGAGAAGAGAGAGAGAGAGAGAGAGAAAGAGACAGAGAAACAGAAAGAGAAAGAGAAAGAGAAAGAGAGAAAGAGAGAAAGAGAGAAAAAGAGAGAGAGAGAGAAGCAAGGGGCCAAGGACAGTTCTCCAAACTATAGTTGTTCACTGCTTTGAAACTTCCGCCCCCCGGCTCTGCCGGACCTTACTTGTATAGAGGACACATTGATGTGCCAGAACTTGTCAGAGCAGCCATGAGACCAAAGCCCATGATTTGGGGGGAAGGGTCTTGTGGCTTTGCGGAAAAATCGGGAGACCCCCCAAAGCTTGGGATTTTGGTCCTTGCGCCAGAAGCTGAGTCCGCGACACCCAGGGCCTCAGGGGCGAGAGGGCGAAATCAATGCTGTCAAAACAAAGAGAACAGAAGCAAACAAAACAACACGAGTTGTTCGCAGATACTTGCTTTTGAAGCGGAAGCACCTGCACGGACCTCTTTGGGGCCGGCATTTGGGATCCTTCAGCGTTGCCGTTGGAATGGAAAAGGCGTGGTAGCAACCTCCTCTTGGGGACCCCCTTTTTTGGGTCCCATGCGGCTGATCAACAAATGGAATCCCCAAAATGGCATGGTATCTGGGAACAGAGACTAAAACAACATGCGGAACCACAGCTTGAGCCAGACCCACGCGCACCTGGAAGAATTGGCAGGGAGTCCTCCAAAGAGCCGATTTGGGGAAACGTCTCTCGTACGTCGCCATGCCCTCGGTGTGGTTCAGTCGACGATTTTGGGTGGAATCCCTGAGCCCGGGCCAGCTGTGCCACGGGTTGCGGGGTTCTTCTTGCGCATCCTTGGCGTGATGTGAGACCGAGTTGCCGACAAGGATGGATCCTTGGTGCATCTTTGCTGTTGAACCCCAGCAATAACATTATCTGCAAACAAAATGCAACAATTCCAAAATCTGACATGAGTCATAGTCAAAACCCGGTAGTAAAATGCCAAAACCTGAAATAATCAATAATTCCAAACAACTGGAATAAGAATTCGTTTCTTGCAATAATTCCAAAACCTGAAAGAAGAACTGGACCCCCAAGTCAAGGATCCTTTTGTGCGCTCCCTCGTTTTACCCCCCGACTCGGTGAGCTCTCTCTTCCGTCCGCTTGCTTCAGCGCTCTGGGCACTGCGGCAGGTCCAGTCTCCCGGCTTGAAGCCCCCAGTGCCGCCTGATTCGAGAAAACGGGGCTGGGCACCATGGCCTCTTCGGCCATCTTGAAATCAACTCCTTTGAAAGGGTCAACCGGTGAGCCAAAACCCTCCTTGCAAGCAGCATAAGTGGACCATACCTGATGTTTGCAGCCAACAGGCATCCTTTGACAAGGGGCAAAGGGGCGATCGATTCGGGTTACGTCAGGTAAGTGGCGAGAGCAAGCCTGGTGAGATAACCCACAAAAGCCATGGCTATAAGTCGCCGTTCAGTGGGATATAACCAGGCTTCCTCGCCCCTCAAGTACCCGATCGCCCCCTTTAAGTATCAACCAGGGATTTAGGATAAATGCGGGGTACCCCATGGCTCGTGACTTCCTCGGGCTTCGGCCCTGCAATGTCCCTGGGGTCAAGTCGTGCGTCCGGGTAGAGTCTATCTAAACCAAAGAAAGGAAGCCCCCAAGCCCCCGGCCCAAAAAATGCCAACCTTCTTGCTTCGATACTCGAACCACCCTAGTTAGGGCTTAACCGTGGGCCGCGAGGTCGAATCCACAAACGGATCCTGCGTCCGGAACTTTGCGCTGACCGGAGGAGCGTCCTTTTTTTCCTCCCGAAGTGAAGGACCTTGCCAACCAAATGTTCTGCAAATATGTGCGCCTGCAATTCGAACCACCGTGAAAACAGTGGCTGGGTTCATATAACCACCATTGGCTACCTTTCAGGCTTGTCATCATCTAGATTGGGTCAACCATCCTTCAAATGGGAATCAGTTGAAGAATAGGGTGTCAATGATTCCAATCTTGGGCTTGACGGTGTTGCCAGAATCGGTGGGAGCAGAACAAAGTTGATTCAGTTGTGTCAGGATAGGGCCTGGGCACGGCATATGATATAAGAAATTCAGAAAGAGGCACGCAGCCACGCTTCTGGCTTCCCAAGCCACGCTTCTGGCTTTCCCAAGGCTCCCCATTCGAAAAGCCGAAAGCCAAGCAAGCAGAAGCCAGGTCCTCTTCGTAAATGGGTCTCTCTTTCCTTTGTGTTGGTACCCGCGTTTTTGGAGGGTGTTGGGGAACCAAAAGGAAACCGGGGGTGTATTTAACGCAAAAAAGAGACACGATGGTAACCAACATCTCACCCCGTTTTGAAGTCCCCCAATAGGGCCCCCTTTTCAGGGGGAAAGGGACGCTCCCTTGGGAAAGCAAACGCTAAACCGTGATAGACGCCACTACTTCTTCATTGTTTCACAATTCGGATAGCATCTATTCACGACCTTTGGATTTAGCCCATGAACATATTCCAAGACTACATTCATCAATTGGGAAAAAGGGGATTCACAAGTGAAGCACCTTCATGAATCGGTGATGTCCGACCACCCTTTCAAGATACTTGGGTTTTCCGAGCAAGCAATGGAGGTCTGGGAATAGAACATACGGTGTGGCATAGCATAGAACATACGGTGTGGCATAGAACATACGGTGTGGCATAACAGGGTACAACCAGCACCCCGAGAGGCAGCTCACCAATGCAATTGATCCAAAAAACTCTGAGGGAAACATATGTTTTCTAAAGCATAGTTGTCCTTTTTGGTAAAATAGACGGCCCTGGTAAACCTGCGCCATCTATTTCTTCTCCCAAACTAGCCTAAAAAGGACCCCTCTGGAAGCCTCTTTCAACCACCCCGGCTGGAGATATCGCGCCTGGCAAGGCGGTCTGCCCGGCGCGGGACTGGATGTCCGCCTGCAAATCGACGGCATGAACGAAAGACGAAGTAAGGGCACCCCCAAAAACGGAATTTCGCTGTTATTTTTGGTACCCCTTTTTCAGCTAAAGGGCGCCTCAAACACCCACACACCAAATCACATCACAAAAACCTCCCAGCAGTTCTTGGACCTTCACGGGCCCAAGAGCTCGACTCAGCTCATTCCATCAATTCTGCCATGGCAGAATCGAAATCGTAGGAGTGATTCCTTGTCCATTCTTTACCATCCTTACGCAGGCTCGTAATCAAGGATTTTACAGATAACCGTCTATAACCAAGAATTCTTGACTGCAGGTGGTTCCCTCTCTCATTCTCTCTTCTCACCGTGTCATCTCGCCTCATCCTTCATCTCATGGACACTCCCGAACGAAGAGAGGAAGAGTGTGGACATGTGGATGAGGATGGGTTGGGTCATTCCTTTCTCCCAACCATCTAATCTCATCCAATATTATTTATTGTGTTGACAAGTCAGCCGTTTTCCCTGGTGTCACGGGTTTTGATTGCTGGAAAGAAAGATTTATGGAAAGAATCGTCGGAAGTGACCCCAAACGAATCACTTTCTATACCCAACTCTCGGTCCGCCAGACACCCTTTTTCCGCCTAAACATATGTGTTCGTGTTCCTGGAAACTTCTCAATTATATGTGGGTTTTGGAGGTAAAGACTTGTGAGAACCGGCTCCAATCGTCTCCTTGCATCCTTGCCATGTCGAAAATAAGGTCTAGAGTCTAGAAGAATTGAGGATCTACAGCTTTGTCACACTGTGGATGGACGAAATCCTGCACCACTTTCAATCCACGGGAAACCATTGTTGGTTGGTAGTTACAGGGGAAACATCATTCCATGGATTCTTAGGAGAAGTGCGAAGAAACTTCAGAAATACCTCAGCTCTTGCCTCCCAACAATCATATTGCTGATTCTGGTCATACAGATGTGTGTGTGTGTGTATTTGCTTTCTTGCTTTCTTGCTTGCTTGCTTGCTGGCTGGCTGGCTGGCCGGCTGTGCAGGATTACGTCCGTCCACATTAGTTCTGGAAACACCCTCCCCAAATTCCTTTCTGAGGGCGGGCATTGTTTGAAGCCACCCTCCCCGAAGCCCACAATAGCAAACCAAACATCTATTTTACAAAGCACCTTGCCGGCTGGCTTGCTGGCTTGCTTGTGTGCCAAAATGGACATCCCGCCTCCAAAGCAATGGGCGGCGTTCCTTCTGGCTCCCTCTGAACCAGGATTGAAACGGGTACCCTCGAACAAACGACACATCCATGTGGAAGCCATCGGGGGGATAGGTACTGCTGGGGAGCCTTAGGGACCCGACCAGACCCCCGTCCCAAGGTCCCACATCACCCTTAAGGAAACTCACCTCTAAACCTGAAAAGGTCATGTTGGTTTTCCTTTTGAAATGTAATCAAAAAAACGGTATGGGTTTACATTTTCTTGATTTTCAGCTTGGTTTAAAGGGAAGCTGACATTTGAAGAGTCCCCCTATTTCGACACGCAATCCATATAAGCACCCCGGCGCCCATGCCCCAACAAAGCCGCCGCGCCAGCAGCGTGGCTGCAGGGCCGAAAATAGCAGGGCCTCCGCCTGAGCGAAGCAGGATCAAAACACGACCAGTGTCATTTGGCAAGGTTTTTCTCATTTGGCTGTGGCTCAAGAACATGAACCAAAATGGCACCTGGTAAATCTAACCAAAGACTATCACCTGCGCAACCCTAGCTGTTTAATTCTGAGCCGCACCCATTGGGTGTGTGTGTGTGTGTTTGTTTTTTTTTAAGTGGGGCCCTTTGCTGAGCTGTCCTCAGATCCCCGCTAAAAGGTTAAACCTTTAGTGGGCTAAATGGAAACCTGCAATTAAATCCTAGAAAGCTAAAAGTTTAAGGGATGATTGGGAGCCAGCAAGTTTGGTTTCCTTGTAAAGCCGCACAAGCGGGCCTGCCTTCAAACAAAGGAGCGCCCATGTGTCTTTTGCTTTCCAGATTGAAGACCCCAGGCCCATACCAATTGGCATTGATTGTGGGAAAAGAAGGGGGGGAACAAGTGACCAAACCTCCGAATCCATGGGTCGCGGACATAGATGTTTATTGCAGGTCTAAATCTCTCATAGACGTTCTTTCGGTTTTTTCCCTATCGGGGATGACTGATAACCCCTGGTCCATTCTTCCCAACCATTATCCTTTTCGAAAACTCCACGGCGCGCGGAAACCGCTTTTGCCGGACACCAACACCAAAACGCACAGCCAGCCACGAAAAGGCCCCCGGCTGCTGCCCAGCAACGGCTTTGGTCCCCCGCACCTCAGCTTTGGATGTGAAACGGGAGAACCCCGCGGCTGGTTTGAAGAAGGACACCCAAAGGAACCAACCGCTTTAGGTTGGACCGATTTGTACTGTGGATGGACGAAATCCATTTTGCACCACCTTGCTAAAACCCTGGTTTCTGGTGATTCACTTGTAAATACCAACAATCGTCATGGTTCAACCATGGTTTCTTGGGTGGTGTGTCGGGCAACCATCCACAGTATTGGACCCCGTGGAAGGTCTTCTTCCGATACCGCGGCTTCCATGGAATCGCCCGAGTCATGTTGAGGCAGTGTTTACCCAACCCATTTTGCAAGCGTATTCCCGGTAATCCCCACTCCAAAACTCAAAGCCAAAAGAAACAAGGAGGCATGAAACCAATCAGAGGCCCCACCCACAACCCTCAAAGTTCCGCGACGCCTCAGCCTTGGGGGGCATGGGGAGGTCACATTTGCTCCACGCGCAGCTGCACGTTGAGACCTTCCCCGGACTGCGAGCGTTCGGTAGCTCCCCTTCACCAGGCACACCAAGCCGCAAAGAGCGGCTCTGGACACGTGCGGATGCAAGGCTGAGACAGACGCATTTCAGGACGGGAGCTCCATGTTCCACGACTCGTGAATCTCGCGCTAGACGAAGAGGAAGAGCCGCTTTGTCTCCATCTCTGCTCCTTCTCACGTCTCGTGACGGATGAGCAGCCCCGGTACTCAACGGACTTCGGCGGGCACACAATCACATTTAGCATTGGGTTCGTTCCCGCCCGGGCCTAACCTACCAAAGAGACAAGCGCAACTGCGCAATTTAAAGAGTACATGTGGCAAGCAGAAGAAAGCAATTGACAAATCAACACAGCATGAATGGGCAGGAGACATATGCACTTTCCATGTATTTCCTGCTCATGGCGGTTTTGGTCTGTCATTGGCGCAAGCGACACTCCAAATCACAACGAGCCTTAGTCAAAATATGGAAGTCGGCTCAAGTGAAAGCTGGGTCAGAGTAGTTTCCCCCCTGCCATAGTTAGGTACCCTGCCCAGAGGAGCCATGACGGCAAATGCTGCGGCGCTCTTGAGTGCTGCGATTCGTGCCGCGGTCCTGGCCAAGGCTCCCAGGAGAACCGTCAAGGCGTTTGCGGCTGCGGTGACATCGGTCTTGACCAGGCCGCTTGTCGCAAGTGCTGCCTCCCCGCCTGAAACGGGCACTGGCAAGCCGGGCAAGGTTGCTCCGGGCGCCCCTGGGGATGCCTGTGACGAACTGGTGCAACGCCTGCGTGAAGTTCGTGCAGCTAAGCGCCGCGCGAAGCGCCAACGGCGTAAGGCAGCTAAGGCCGCTGCCCCAACGCCAGACGAGAAGGTTGCTGGAAACCTCGAGGTCAGGGGCGACATCGAGAATCCTGGCGCAGATTTGCGCATGGAAGAGACTGCTTCTGGAGCTGAGATGATGCCGGCTGATTTTCCTTCCAGGTCGCCGCTGCCAAAGCGGCCGCGGCAAGGGAGTGTTTCAGAAGGTCCGCCGGCTTATCCACCAGCGAGGATCCATCCCCCTGGGCTGAGAGCGCATCTTCGCGCGGTACGGTGTGGACTGATGATGTCATGAGCGCGGAAGGTAAGCAGCAACTCCCTGCTGTAGATGCTGGTGGATCCTCTTCTCGGAGGGTCAAGCAGCTGTGGCTCCGATCACGCCAAGCGTCCTGGCAGATGACCATGGGATAGTGCCGTGCGGGTTTTTGCCCCGGCTCGTGCGGACTTTTGTGGGCGACTTTTCGCTGAGGCTTGGATGGTAGCCGCAGCCAAGTTTTGAGGTGCGGATCATGGGCGTCTAGACTCTCGAGTTCATCCTGTGGAAGAGAGCAGAACCCCTGGGCCTCCTAGGACTTTGACTCGTCATCGACTTCTTGTTGTTTGACTTCGTCATTGGCATCCTGTTGTCCATCAAAACCCATTAGTCCAAATATGGGTCTGGGGTAAGGACATTTGGAATTAGCGAGTCCCGTTTTTGCTTTTTCGGGGGTTGAATGGCTATCGTTTTGTCACGTCATGAGACAACTTTATTACCATTGACAATGCTTAAGGCCACTAGGTGCGTACGGCATCAGGAGTTCTTGCCGGGTTACTACAAGTGTCGCAATATTGAACTTCCATCTGCCAGCACAGCTCTTGTTTAGAAACAAGGGCCTGCGTTGGGAGAAGTCAAAAGCGCACAATGCCATGCATGACAGCCGCGCACTTCGCAAAACTAAATAATCACGACCTGCGCGTCAATTTGAGCGGCCATTCAGGGGCGCACGGGCCCAAAATAACCTTACCAAGAATCAAACGCCACTTCAGTTGTGGGAACAATCAGTTGGAGGCTTTGCACAGGTTCGGAACACTTTAAACATGGACCCAGGTAAACAGCAACCACGGACTCATCAGCCCAGATCGCCATAAATCAAGCACAGCGCCACGAAAAGGCAAGACTACGGCAGTCAAACGACAGCATGACAACGGTGAACACGGCATCAACCCGGCATGAACATGAACACGGCATGAAAGCAACATGAACACAACATGAACACAAATTGACAACATGCAAAGTGCTGACACGTTCGCTTTAAAACCCACGAGGATCAAGCACCCACCTCAAGGAAGTGGATGTATCTATGGCTTTTTGAAACACCGTATTTACATATAAACGTTAAATACAGCTTGTGTTCTGATACATTGAAAAGCAGGAATGGTTCTTAGCATCTCTTTAGGGGTTCTGATCGAAGGGTTCTCAGAACCTTGGGGGAAGGGGACTTAATCTTCCTCCTGAACAAAGCCAGTGTAGTATGTACTGTCAGGTGAAAACAAATGCCACATCCCCACCTCGGCCTTATCATTTTAGAAACACTAAGGTACCCACGAAATAGTGATTAAAACCAGCATTTTGTGGGTACCCCGAGTCCAAGCACCTTTGCGGATTTGAGGAATTTGCAATTGACAATCCCCTTGAACCAAACCCAGGACCGCAAATTTGGCTGTGGGTCAAAATGATGTACTCAAAATGGAACCCTGCCAAATGGAACCAAGCACTAAAACCTGCGGTCCGCTGGTTGTTTAATTTTGACCCATGTGGGCGTGTTTCTGGGTTCTGCTTCGGGACCGGTGGCGCAAGAAATCGCCCAATCCCCGAGGCCCGCGCTTCCGGCAGGAGGTGTTGCGCTCGAACCTCGAAAGGCGCTGGTCGGAGCCCAGGAAAAATTGCCGTAGTCTGTGATAATTACCCCAGGGGTTGCATGGCCGCATGGGGGGAGTTTGCATGGTTGCATGGTTGTCTTACAAAAGGGGGTTGTACGGTTGCACCCATGGGACACTGCCCCTTTCAGTAAGTCCAACTGGAGGACCTGAACGACCAAATTCGCCAGGGGAAACCCGTAAACAATCGGCCCACGAAAGGACGTGAACAAATGGTCGCCTTGTCTCTAAGGCCTGTACATGACTCCAACAGGCTTGCTGTTGTCAATAAAATTATCTCCCAAAAGTCCTTTCTGAATCTTGACGATAAACTAGGCCTTGCTTGCAACGACCGGACTGCACACACAAACAGTTACTTAACCTTGACGCAAAGCTTGGCGTGCAACAAGCAACTAGCGGTTGATGCTTGAAAAGGGAACCTGAGTCAAGTCTGGCCATAAAACATCGAATCCCACGTCATCGACCCCGATCGTGGAAAAGCCATACAGGTCTTTTCAAGTGGATTCGCTCGGGCAGGTCTGGGTAGCTTCCCACCAATCAACATGGAACCTGACAGGTGGTTTGGACCATTTTCCTCTTAAAGGGACCCTCTGTCAGGTTCGCCACGCTGGACCAAAAGGCAGGTCATGCTGAAATACGGCCAGACTTCAACTTGCGCAAAGCCAGTTGTGTTGCTCAACAGGGAGATAAAGAAAACCCCAGAGGGCAACAGTGCAAAGTGGCGAGAAAGGGGAAATGTGGGCAACCAACCGACAAAAAGACCCGTGGATGTCCAGAGGGCGGCCGATTTCCAGTGTGGCTGGTCGATTTCCACCGGGCGGCCACCCCAAAAGACTGGAGGCGTGGGACTCTTTTAATCCGAGGGGCTGGTGGTCCCCGCAGAGCGGGCACTTCCAGTCGCCGACCTCGGGGCGGCTCTGGAACCAGCCACTTGGCTCTGTCCTGGTTTGGAGTTGGTACCCCTCTGGCCCGTTTTTTCTGTTTAAGGGAATCCAAAGCAACCGCACAAAATTCGGAGGGTCCCCCCCCAAAAAAAAACAAACAAACATACATCGAAGACCTCTGCCAAGGCAAAGGAGGTGGTGGAACCCACTGAGCGGGGTCAAAATTCGGGCCGTTTCAGGTGGCACGTGCCGGCGGCGAGATCCAAGAAGGGGGCCATATTTTGACCCGCGTGGAATGACGAGACCAAGTGGAATGAGCATTGCGCCATATACTTTCACACAAGTGAATGGTTACGCAGAGCAAATAAGTGGCTCGTCTTTTTTTGGAGTTGGCACCCTTTGTTTATGGTTTCAAAGGAAAGCCAAAAGGAAAACCGACATCCATTTTGTGGTGCCCCTGAAAATGAGACACACCCAAATTGCTTGAGCATGAAGCAAGATTCGCTCAGCGTCAAGAGTGCCCTTTACAAAGCCCCCCCAAAAAAAAACTGGAGACTTGGTCACGGTCAAGCAATGGAAAAAATCGCAGGGTTCCAGTTGGCTGCCGGTCAAAGCTGCCTCTAAACTCCACCGAGGCGAGGTCAAACGCCTTTTATGGGCGTCCTTTTTGAAGTTGGTGCCCGGGGCTGTTTCAAAAGGCAAAGGGAAGCCACCAATTCACCAATTTGGGTGTTTCTATGGAGGCAAATCTGAATTTCGGGGCCCAAAGAGCTTTCCTAACCATCCAACGGAGGGTCCCAACCTGTGATCCATGGTTAGACGACCCCGACACTTGAACCAAGCGGGCTCCGAATCTGCAAGACTCATTTCGCGAGCCCCCGAAACATGTCGGGAACATCTCCCCCAATTCGCCCCGACAAACGTATGCGTGGTTTTTGGTTCTTTTGCCAACAAATAGAGACATGCCCATTCCGACTCTCCCCCAAACTGCCCAGTGTTTGTAAACTTTGAACACCTAAAACATATTCCTATCTGGACGCTATATCTTGACCCCGGATGCATAACCCCAGGGGGGAATCATGGGTCCAAACTAAAAACATGAAGTTCCACAAGGCGCCACCCCCCATGAATTCAAAAGAAAGCCAGGCGCCACCGCTTTTTTGGGTGCCCAGTACACCAGTGAGTCACAATCAAAACCCGGTATTAAAATGGTCTACCGGCTTGTCCCTTACTAACCTTCATCTACCCAGGTTTTGTGGCTCAAGTGAGAAAGACACAGACGCCACGCGCTCGGAGATTTGGGGCGCCCGGGCGAAGGCGGTGGCGGAGGTGGGCCGCGGCCGCGCTTCTGGGACTGCTGTGGCGGTGGCCTGGGACCGATGTCGAAATCGGTGGCTTTCCAGGTGGCTTCCCTTGGAAAACAGAAACACCTGGGAAGCACAGCCGGTGGACCCATGTCCAGGTATGGCTTTTGGAGCTATGGGTGCGCGTATGCCACCAATATAAGATCGCAAGGCAGTATAAATAAACAAATACATGCATAAACAAATAAATAAATAACTAAATAAATGAATAAATAAATAAATGAATAAATACATAAATACATAATCACCATATATATATATATGTGGTACAGCGTTGCCAGCCCCCCCCCCCCCCCCCTCCAATGGTCATGGGTCAGACAAGTACCCACCCCCCCCTGTGGTTGTGGTCCTGTGGTTGGGTTGTGGTGGTTTAGGGTTGGTTTAGAATTGGTTTAGGGTGTATTTAGGGTGTATTTAGGGTTAGTTTAGGGTTGATTTAGGGTTGGTTTATGTTGATTTAGGGTTGGTTTAGGGTTGGTTTAGGTTTAGAGATGTACGGTTTAGGGTTTGGTTTAGGGTGTATTTAGGGTTGGTTTAGGGTTAGTTTAGGGTTGGTTTAGGGTTGGTTTAGGTTTAGGGTTTATTGTTTAGGGATTGGTTTAGGGTGTATTTGGGGTTAGTTTAGGGTTGGTTTAGGGTTAGTTTAGGGTTGGTTTATGTTGATTTAGCATTGGTTTAGGTTTAGAGGTCTACGGTTTAGGGTTTGGTTTAGGGTATGTTTAGGGTTGGTTTAGGGTTAGTTTAGGGTTGGTTATGGTTGGTTGCGGGTTGGCTTGTCCTGGGGTGGGGGTGCCGGGGTGTCGGGGTGCGAGTTCAGGGGGTCGGGGTGGGGGTGGGACCGTAGGTGCCAGGATCCGGGGGCTCGGGGTCTCGGGCCGGGGCGGGGGGGGTCCTGGGGGACCCATACCATATGGGGGGGGGGGGGTAGCAACACGGAACACGGGACCATATATATATATATATATACAAATATACCCCTTATGTATGTGGTATGTCATCTCCATACCTCCAAAAACACGGAAGTACTCGGCGAGATTCGATCATCACCTTTAACTGGTTCGGGTGGGTTCAAGGTCGGCTTGCTTAAAATTTACAGACCCAAATACTTGGCCACACAGAAGAGGTACACCGGAAAAATGACATGTTCTGATTCTGTTTCATATTGCTAAAACAAAGCAAAGAATAGTGTTGGAGGAGACCCCGGCATTGGAATTCACAGACTTCTTTTGAGGGTGCCTGTGTAAGGGTGGTTTGAAGGAAAACCAACCGAACTACCAGGAAAGCCATTCAGGGCTCCCCCACTTCGACAACCCAAGTCTGCCCCCCTCTCTCTCAGGGAATGGGTCGTCGCTGGCCGCTACCCATCCGGCCATGGATCGCGTATCATTCGTGCCCTTGGATTGTGGATGGTAAAGGGAAACCCTCAAGAAAGTCCCCCCTGAATGGCAAGGGGAAATCCTGAAGAAAAACCGCCTACCCGCCTATCCACCTACCTACCTACCCACCACCCTTTTAGGGATCCCCGGAAGACCTCATCCCTCTCATCCCTCTCATCCCTCTCATCCCTCTCATCCCTCTCATCCCTCTCATCCCTCTCATCCCTCTCATCCCTCTCATCCCTCTCATCCCTCTCATCCCTCTCATCCCTCTCATCCCTCTCATCCCTCTCATCCCTCTCATCCCTCTCATCCCTCTCATCCCTCTCATCCCTCTCATCCCTCTCATCCCTCTCATCCCTCTCATCCCTCTCATCCCTCTCATCCCTCTCATCCCTCTCATCCCTCTCATCCCTCTCATCCCTCTCATCCCTCTCATCCCCCCGACCGGGGCTCCGCGCCGGCCGGGCAGCGCCGCACTTGCGGCAGCTCGCGTTGCGCGCAAACCTGGTTGAGTTTGGGGTGGGCGTGGTACCCGCGTCGGTTTCTGGTTGCGGGTTTTGGCTTTGGAATTTCCAGACCCAAATGCTTGGCCCAAAGGGGTACACAAAGAAAATGTCTTGTGTTCTGATGCTGAATTCATATATAGCCCCTAAAATTGCACATAGTTTCGGAGGAGATTCCAGAGATGTTCGGCGGATGCACTAAATATGGGCATTTGCAAAATTTTCGCGCTTGAGCAACCAGGCATCCATCCAGGGAACCACCTTGCGCCATCTGACGAGGCCTGCTTGAAGATCACCTCATGTATTTGGGCATGTGTCAAACATAGGTGACCGCATTTGAATGGAATCGGTTTGTGGTTTCCTGATAAAACAAACAAAAGGTACCCTCAAAACAAGACGCGCAAGCGCCAAGATATACTCCCCTACACTCCCTCAGACTAACATGGAAGCTCCCAGAAGGCCGATCCTATAAATGAAACCACGCCTTCCAAGCAAATCCGGGGAGCTTCCATGTCAGGTTGGGAGGCGCCCATTCCAAGGAGGACCCGTGTCTTTGAGGCGCCCGGCTGATGGTCTCCGCACGCAGCGCCTAAAATCGGTCGCTAGGGGTTCTAGGGTCCCACCCGTGAGGGCAAGAGCATCTGGAGGCAGAATGCCTACTGTGGATGGTTGTGAAATCCATTTCGCATCACCTAAGAAACCATGGCTGTTTGTTGGTTGGTATTTACAGGGGAGCGAATCGTGGTTAGAAACATCCACAGTAGGTCCGGTGGTTGAACTTCCCATATCAGACCTAGAGGGCCCCTTCCTCCAACATGGCGCCCTGGCTGCCCGGAAGATCAATCGCCCCTGCAAATCGTAGGTGCCCATGTTCGTGGGGAGGGTCGCCGGCATTTTCGGCGATAAGCGACAAGGTACACCCTGTGGAGGCGATCTCGGGTCTGGCAGGACCAAAACCTCTTTGAATTGCCCAGATTGGCGTGCCAGTTTTTTCTGTAGATTGCACCCTTCTCGGGTTCGGTTTTAGAGGAACACCAAAGGATACCAGAATCCATTTTGGGGGCTCAAGCCCGCATTTGGAAACAAGCCCAGTCTGGATTTGAGAAGGCACCATTGGTTTTGACCCACGGCCAAATAAGCATCCAACATCCCAGTCTGTAATACACGCGCAGCCGAGGGCATGGGCCATGTTGTGGCAAACGGCTGCTCAAATCCCATGCAGTGGCACGCAAATGGACCCTACAAGGTCAATCCAAATATCAGGCTGGCTCCCGAAAAAAGTGAACAATCATCATCCCGTAACAAGGGCCCAAGTAAAAATATTTAGACACATGTGCTTGCCACTCTTCGGAGATGTTGGCTCGGGACACTGCCCTCTAGGAAATAGGGGTTATTCGCCACATCTCCACGAAGATACACCACCACGCCAAAAAGAAAGAGATCCAGGTGCCCCGAGCTATTTGGTTGGCCTACACCACGTAATTGGCTCATCTTTCCACTCATTTTTGGGCTGCACCTTCCGCCTACATACACCCTGCCTCTGCCAAGTGCAAGTGAAGCACCCGGTCTCTGGAATTCACACCTGCAAAAAGTTTGCCAACACAGTGCTGTAACCGCACTAGAAACAGGGCGAATATTAAAGGATGCGGCGGCAATTTCTTAGCAGCATCCGATGCCACGAGAAGGCATTTGCATGGGAGAGATTTGCTGGGGGAATGGCCAAATCTGGGAAAACCGAACAACCTTGAGGAAAAGCAACAAACACACAATGACACACAACATAACATTCCCCAAACGAAAGGTTTTCGGCATGTCCAAAACATTACCCTCAGGGCTTTGTCTTTGTTGTAATCGAGGTGTTGGTTTATTGTTTTTGTTTCTGTCAGAAGTACGACCGCAATATCCAAGCACAAAGAAGTGTCGATCATGATCCCCTAGTACACGGAGTGAACAATGCTCCCTGCATTTCCATTATCCCAAAACCCGCAGGGCTGCGGACATTGGCTTGGTTTAAGACACGGAGGCAACGGAGCTGCCACACAGCCAGGGCAGTCAGGTGCTGAGGCGCCGGCAAAGCCAATCACCCTCTTTGAAGCCCGAGGTATCCTCGGCAAGTCCACTCGACCAGTGCATTTCAATAATCCCAGCCCTAAATAAACACGATTAGAGTTAGGCCCAGTCAAGGATGTATGCTTTGTTGTTTGCTTCACTTTGAGTCAGTGGCAGAATGTACAATATATCCTAAATCTCCCGAATAGGCACCAAAGCGATTCTGTGATCCAGATCCGCTCTAAACCAGGTTGCATCTCCCCTATGAATGGACGGGGTTCTGAATCATGGGTTTGCACTAACTGGTGAGTGCTGATCATCAAAACACTGGACCTGGGGCGATGGCCTTGTTCTCTGCAGTCCGCTCATCACGTTTGTAAGTTGTTAGCAACCAAAGTTACAACCCCGGTGGCTAGCCACTTACCAAGACTTGGCAACGCACATCCAAGCCCAAAACCGCGCCGGCACCCTTGGGTGGACATCAGATTTCGATGTGGATTCATGTCCACAAGCCACTTGTGAGGCGGTTCCAACTCATACATTCGAATCGCCGGTTGGCTGCGACGAACAGCCTCCAGCGCCGAATTCAGCTTGAACACGGGAGTTTTACCAACAGAATTGGCTGAATCGGCCAATCCCTTGCCTAATTCGGCCATTCAAAAACTCAACGTCTGTTGTTTTTGGGGGAACCCCCCTTTTGGCTGGGGAAATCGGAAGAAAAAAGGAGAATTTTGGGGGTTCCCCTATGTTGATCATTTTAGTCAAGGACAAAGATGCAAAATGGTGCCAGACGTTGACCCAGCTAAAGAGCCAGTTTTTCTCTTTACCTCTCTTTGGTTTCCCGTCGGGGGCGTCCATTTGCTCAAACGCCCAACTCCCTGTTCCAACCATCTCTTGGAACATCACCCCAAAAGCAGGCCCAGGCGCTCACATTTGTTTGTGTCCGCGTGAGTGCCCTGGTCGTGTGAGCGGGACACCCAGTGGCCCGGGCGACGTTCAGCCAAGTCTCCGCCGTGGAAGCCGCGCGGATCACCGGCGCGGCGCCTGGAGCCTCGGTTTGTGCCAACGCCTCAAGGGCCTTGAGCATGAAAAAAACAACAGGACAAAATGGCTCACTTCCTGAGTGGATTGGCCAAACAAGGTTCGATTTGTGTTTATTCACCACTAGAATGTTCTTCCCAACAAGTTTAGAGTCCAGGAACTCGGGAAGTGGGGTAAGGAAGGGGTACTACTTCTTTCCAGCAATCATGGTACTTGGCAAGGGGCATCCCCCCAAAAAAAGTCGGCTTCCGCAAGCCTGGCTTCCATGTTGGACGCCCCACAGGTTACAGTTACCAATGTCTGACTTTGATGCCCCAGCTTATGGGGTGAACAACTACGCATCTCCCAAACCCCCTGACAACTTCCATAAGAACAACAGGGCTTTGCTCAAGAACCCCCCCCCAAGTGGAGCAACTTTGGGCTGGTAGAGGGAAACCCTTCGCTCAAAAAAAGACAACTGGGTAGTTCATTGCTCGGGGGGGTGCCCCATACTACCAAAGGGGATCCCCGCTTTCCATATGAAGTTCAACAGCTCAAAAAAGAGGGGGAGGAACCTGTTGGGCCCGGTTTCCGAACCCCGGGCACGCTGCTTTGGTTGTAAACCAAAGCCTTCGTATCGTGTAAGTACATCAAGTTGGGGTCAAATACATACACCCATCCTTCTCTTATGATCACTTAATTTGCTAAGTCCCGCAAAACACTTACTTCTGCTCGTTTAGACCCTTGTAGTGCCGGTTCCACACATTTCCAAATGTACTTCCCAACATACCTCCTTTTAAACGGAAATGGAGCAGCGGGACATGGTCTCTCGTGCTACCAGAGCTGCCCATCGCACCGTGCCTTCCCCTTTCGCTTCAGGGCTTCCCAAGGGCCTATGGGAAACTGGGCGGTCCGTTTTCAGATCCCCTGCTAACACTGGCTAACTTGTGGGTTGAATGGAAACCCAACCACCAAACCAACTACTCCGTCTCAGTTTTCTTGTCAAGCTTGGAAAGACACGAACTAAAAGCTAAAAAGCTAAAGATAATGAGAATAGAATGGTTTAAATCAACCGACTCAAGCCTTACCAATGTTGGAATCAACCAGGACTTTTCCTTTGAAAGGGACCAGGAATGGTTCCATCACCAAGTGGACGAGTTGAGCACTGGGTTGATTCGGTTGAATGAGGGTTTATGGTGGGCTGGCAAGTTTAAAAAGCGAAACACCCCCATTTCCTGACTTCGATCACCCCACCAACATCGTCAAGCTGATGACCCCCGACGAGGCCGCGAAAGGCCTCAAACGCACAAAACCACTGCGCTTTGCGCAGCTGCAGAAGTCCCCAGCACAGCTTCAGATTGCTGAACGAGCACAGCAAATCCAAAGCTCCCACTGCGCTCTACTCGAGTCTCACGCAAGACTCGAAGACCATGCTCCGGTCCGCGCGCAGCGCGCAGCGCGGAGCACACCACAGAGTGCGCACCAAGATGTGTTGAACAAGCCAGCAATCAACCCCCAACCTGAATACGAAACCTCCTTCTCTACGAAAAAGTCCATTTGACCCCCAAAAAGGATAAGACAAATGACCAAAGTACCCTTCAGGGCTTCTTTATCTTTGCCCTTAAAACATCACCCAAGGGACACTCACCTTTGGCCAAAAAGTCTTAAGTGTGCTGCTTAAAACCAAGCAGTGAAATGGCCATGGGCAAAAATCCCGTACCCCCAGTGAACATCCCAATCCCCACTCAAATAGACTAAAATGGGTGGTGCACCTACCCCAAAATGGGATCCCATTGGTTTTGACCCACAGCCAAACAGTGAAATACCTCGGGATTTGTGTTGACCACGAGAACCCTCTCTCAGGTCTGCGCAGGCCGCGCGGCTCCGCAGCGCCGGCAGCTGGCGTTGCGCGCGAACCTCGGGTCGGCAATGAGCGCACGACCGGCAGACCCCGGGTTTCGGTGCAGAAGGCGTGGCTGGAGAATACCCATTTGCGGGGAACGAAGGAAATGGGGGCCACTGAGCACAGTTGCTGTGAGGGGAAAACAATTCTCACCTGCCCGAAATACCCAGAAATAGAAGGTGATCACCTTTTGGGTGACTTCACTAAACATGGACCAAACCAGGGGAGAGCGTCAAAAGGTCGGCTTGGGGCAAGTGAGTAAGCAGACCTAGATAGACCCTGACAAGGCCTTATTTGTAAAAAAAAAAAAAAAACGGCGGTGGGGTGTGCGCAGGGGAGGGGGGTTGAAGGTTGTTCGCATGATCATGAGGGAATCGGGCTTGATAGTACCCACAGCCCCATTCTAATTCTTTAGACCCTTAATATGCGACCTCAAGGGTACAACTGGGTTGGTCTCAACATGAATGGAGCCCCGAAATGAAAAGGTCGGTTTCCTTTTTGTCCAATTGAAATCTCATCAAAAACAAAAGCACTACAACTCAGGGCTTTAATAAAGAAACCTTGGTCTTATCCAGATGCGCCAATAGTAGCTCAGTCACGATCAAAGCATTGTATTTTCAGGGGTCACGAAGAAGAACCAGGGCGGACTTATTTGCACCTGCTCATGTCGGTCCACCAACGCTCCATCATGGTTTGACTGTTGGGTAGAATGTTAGTTTGTCTCAAAATACGGATACCCCCCAAACAATTGGTCGCTTTCATTTGGCTTCCCTTTGAACAAACCCCAAAAAGAGTGAGACCAAAAGGAACACAATTGGGAAACCGACCGTTTGGGGGGGGGGTCCATGTGTTGAACCTCGCTCGGCTCGGGCGCCCCGCTGGTGATCCCCACACTCCGGGCCTGAAAGAACTCGCGGAGGGTTCCCCAAATTTCTCCTGGTGGCTTTGGACCAGGTTGCTTCAAGGGGTTTCTCAAACGGCAGAGATATGATTCGGAACCTGTTCATTAGAACCCTTGTTGGTTTCAACCCACGCTCTTCAGAAACCATGCCTTTGAGCTCTTGCCAATTCTCTGAGAAGGATCCATGAGCAGAATGGCACGGCTAAAACTTCTGGTAAAACCAAACATGAGATACCTCCACGACACTCGGTGAAGGCCTCGACAAGTAGGGTGGTTTCAGGCTTGTCTTGGAAGCGACCTGCAGATTGCATGCCCGTTGCTTTCGACCACCAAGAGAACGTCGCCAAGAGAACGTCTGAGACGCCGACAGATTGAGAACCAACAGTCTACTCCACCGGCCTGCCAAAAGGAAGCGGTGAGGACACAACACCCAGGGTACATCAATGTTTTTTCCAGTATGGGGCCCCAAAAAAAGGGGGTTCCTATCATTTCTCCCGGGGTAAGACTCTCCGCCTTTGCGGCGGATACAAAAGGGACACCACATATCATACTTCATCGAACTGGGTGCGGGGTTCAGGCTCTGACAAACACTCGCAAGAACTCAGTAGCTTGTTGCTAGTGGAGGAATCGTCTTTGTCTGAGGTCGGTTCAAGCCAAGAAGCGTGCCCAACGACGGGCAACGGGCAATCAAACTTGGCAAACGAGGAGCTTGTCTTGAAATTCGAGACCCTAACAAATTGTGGTTTCTTTTGTGGCTCCCCTTAGAACTAACCAAACGGTTTCCTTAGAAAGGACACGCCCAAGTAAGGACGAGCTTTATGTGTTCCTACCTTCCTAAATTGAGCACACTGCCATCCCTGCGGCTTTTCTTAAGGAAATAAGACGATACTGAGAACAAATGACTCAATGGCACATATCCGCGCCCGTGCTGCTTCTTGTGGGTGAGGTTAACATGCTGAACAAATGAGAGATATCAATTCGCCGATGCTTTTTGGACTAGGAGCAACCCAATGAGTAAGAGCTGTCCATTTGCTGGGCAAAATGTTGGGTTCTCTGGCGCCCAGAAAGGTGGGTGCCTCGCTGGCCTCGCTCGCAAGGGCGAGCTCTTTTGGGCCCCGCAACACCAGCTCCTTTTGGTTCTCGGAAAAAAAAAGCTGGCCAAACATGGGCACCCAACTTGCGGATTCCTGCCGGCTGAGAAGGGCATCCCTTTCCAATTCCCCGGATTTCCAAGCTGGAAAGAAGGCAAATCTTGGTGGCTCGACGGTTTTTTAACGAAAACCGTCTCTTTCAGAAAAGAGCAAAAGCACTGGAGGCCTGGGGCCCGAAAGTTGGGTCGCCTCAGACTCAGCCTCCAATCCTTGGGCCCCGGGCAGTTCCAATCTCCGGGCATGGCGCCCTGCGTGCCCGGTGAATGGAACTCTGAAAGGGGCTGACCACCACTTGGCTATGAATCTGCATTCCGGTCCCTGTGAAAATGATTTAGTGGGGAGTTGTGTCCAACCACTTAGGGGGGTCCTGGCTGACATTCATTGCCTGGTTTAAGCGGGAGTCAAAAGGAAAAGCGAAATGCATGCAGAGGCGGTCCGAATCCAAGTTTTGACATATACCCCTTTGAGAGGAATACCCATTTGCGGGGAACAGAAATTGGGCGCCAGCTGTGCGGGGAAAACAATTCTCACTTGCCCAAAAAAACGGAAATCACAGCTTCACCTACTAAAAGTGGACCAAAAAGGGGATCCCCTTTTTGGTCAACAGGTCGGCTCTGGGCAAGTGAATTACATTTAACCAAAAAGGTGAAAACCAAAGAGAAACCCAGTAAAGGGAACTGGTTGGAATGCCCCGAAGCCCATGCTATATGTGGGCCTTCAATCCTGAGCCAGGGCATCCCTGAAGAGATGTATGGCCGGTTGCTTTTCCTTTACATCTCTCCGCATCTTCCCGGATATTCTTGTGGTTAATCTGTAAAAGTTGGTTAATACAATTTTAGGGCCACGACGAAACATGGACCAAAATTGGGAAACCAAAAGGTCGATTTGCTTTGGGCAACCTGTGCTCTCAGTTGCCCAAAGGACCCAGAAATACAGGTGACCTTTTAGGGCCACGACGAAACATGGACCAAAATTGGGAAACCAAAAGGTCGATTTGCTTTGGGCAACCTGTGCCGGGACTGGCATCTCGAGTCACCAGTCTATGTCTCAAGGGAGATCTTGCAAGCCGCTGCTCCTGAAGAATACGGCTCCTCGCTGCATCATGATTCCGCAAGGCCAGGTTGGCCTGATCTTGACTGACATCAATCTGTGCACCATGTCAGAAAAACGTTCAAGTCGTCGCTCACCATCTTGCGAATCCTCTGGTCACATCTGGCAAGTCTTCGCTCAATCTGAATCCTTCTCCTCTGACTGAAATGCCACGTGCTGTTGCACCATGATTGCTCACCTGATCGCGAGGGCTTTCTTTTGTGGGATAGCGAGTTTCTGAGGGCTCAATCTCACATGTTGCAGATTTAAGGACGTAGCCCTGGGAAAATAAATTGGCCCACATCTGGGGTACACAGAAAAGCAGAAGTTCTGAGATTGCTTCATATTTGGTCTACCCTTAAATATGGCATATTTTTGGTGGAGACTCCAAATAAGAGTCGTTCGGTGTTTATAATCGGAGCCCAGACCCTCGAAAATGATAGGTGCCCTCATATACCCATGTTTGAATTTAGCTCCAAGTTCGACAACACTTCGAAAGCCTGAAATAAGAATCAGATCCCCAAGTAAGGACCCATCATGGCTCGCTCGTATAAGTGGGCTCTCCGAGTGGGCTTGCTGCTTGCCTCTCAAGGGCACCCAACAGAGAGTTGGATTCATGGCAGGCCGTAAGCAAAAATGCAAGTAAGCCAACCATCAACATTGCCTTCACAAAAAACAACGCATATTGCAAGTCATCCAAGCAAACTTGAACTCAGAACAGTACCACGGCAAATCACAGTGAACCAGTGAACTACGTAGAGAGTATCCTTGTTCCCTTTGCAAAATTTAAGACATCTGTGCTACCTGGGTCGGTAGCTCTAGGTCAAAAGAACTCCCCTCCAACATGAAGATTTGAAGATGCGCCTGCGCGATTCGGAAAAAACTTGGTCTTCCAGAATATATCCCTTTAAACACCACCCTACATTTGCACCCGACGCCCTGCACGACCCCCCCCCCACCCCACCCCACTCCGGCCCCAGCTGCAGGGCTCGCAAGCGCCGTGACGGCGGGCAAGGCTGCGGCAAGGCCCGGCACGGCGATGCCCATCTTCTGGAGTTGCTGGAGCCTTACATGCCGCCAGTTCTGAGTTGAAATTTGGGGGGGGGCTCAAAGGGAAACCATTTTGGGGGGGTCCCCTATTTTTAAGACGTTTTGAGTTGAAATTTGGGGGCCTACCTCAAAGAAAAACCATTTTTGGGGTCCCCCATTTTAAGACACAGCCGCATGGGACCTTTTCAAAGACCGTGCAGGCCGTTAATTTGGCCTAAGGGTTAACCCTCTGCTGGTTGAGGGCAAGAAAAGAACGGATTCGGCAACCATTGTCACAAAACAGGGGTATCCCGAAACTGGGTTGTTTTCCTTTGGTTTCCCTTTAGCCGCAACCCCAAAAAGAGCCCTCAAAAAGAGACACACCCATACTACATAGGGAACCCTTGTTGCATTCCGCGCGTTGAGAATGGCCGGATGAGCCCATTCCGGATCATCCCCCCAAAGCTGGGTCGACTGCCTTAAACTGCCCATGCGCGTTTCTCTAGGTGGGCTTCCCTTTGGTTTTGCTTTGAAACAACACCAGAAAGGGTGGCCTCAAAACAAACACAGAATTACCATGGAGGTGCACATGACTCTTTTTCCCAGCGGCTTCTTACGCAGGCTTGCTTTTGTGAGTCACGATCGGCAGCGGTTCCCTGGTGAAGGGAACCAAAGCAAACAATACCAGTCCCCTACCTTCTTCGATCCTTGTTTTGCCCCCCCCATTGACAACTCAATGTCATCAACATGGACACTTTTATATTACCCTATATCTTTCCAAACGACTCCCTTAGCATCAGCCCGATGCAAGCCGCTCGAATTTGGCCCAAGAAGTGATGATTCAAGTCACTTAATTGAAAGGGACTCTCCCTGTCCCGTGTTTTCGGTGACATGGCCTTCACGGTCCCTGCACATCCACATGTGAAAAGCACAGTTTTCAGAAACGTTTCATGCAAGTGGGGACGTGTTTCTTTCAAGGGTCTTGTGGGGGGGGGGGGGGGGTGTTTCTTGTTTTTCCTCCCGATTCCAGCATCCACAAAATCTTGCTCTTGGCTCAGAACCAGGAGCAAAACTCGCCCGAGGAAAGGCTCCCTTGACCAAAAGAGCTTGTGTTGAAAGGTTGACCTTTTGGTGGCCTGACAAGTGGACCAAGAGGAAACCACCAAACGATCAATGGGTTTTGACCTCAGATCCTCCAGCATCACTGTAGAGGACATTTCCTTTGGGGGATTCCTTTAAGAGTGGATTTAGAACCTCTCCTCCGCAGATGAACGTTCGGGGAACAAAACTCATTGAACCTCTCCTTGAGTTCCATGCCAACTTTTGCAGGGGAGTAGGGCAAATTTGTCCTTGTCTTGTTTGGTTTACCCTTTTCTCGGGTTCAAAGGGACACCACAAGGAAAGCCAGCCTCTGATGGAAAAAAGGGAACTGGGCTGCCCTCAGATCCCCCGCTCAAAGTTTAACTTCTAGCGGGTCAAATGGAAACCCAACCACCAAGCCAACTAAAAGGCTAAAAGGCTAAGGAACCGGATGGCTGGGAGCCACCAAGGTAAACTTCGACACCCACATCTGCCCCAACTCTGCCATGCCACTGCTGCAGCTGCTGCAGCTGCTGTAGCTGCTGGAGCTGCTGGATCTGGGCCAACTGCACCAGCTGCGCCTCCCATGGATCGGGTCTCGGTCGTGTGTTTCCCCGCAAAAAGAAAACAAAAACAAAACAAAAAAACGTGGGAACCCCCCGGCTTCTAGGGTTTCAAGTCGTCGGTTTTTTTGTGCAACTTGAATCTTGGATGTCGGGAAGACCTGACACTTGCTGCCAAACCTGTTTCGGTGGCCCCTTGGCTACGAAGCCATATGCTCATGTGAACAAGACGAGCGGTGCTTTTGTTCGCCCTCCTTCGCTCACGGCCAGGGCGGCGCTTCCCAAGAGCTGGGCAGTTTGTTGTATATTGCATAAAGATATAAAGGCAGAAATCGGGAATGACCACGGGGCCTTCATGGGCGATTTCACTTTTAATCTGTGAGAGGAAAGGGAGGTCTTGCTGTGGACCCCACCCCGTCAACTGATGAAGCGCCAGGCGCTCAAAACTCACCAGAACTATGGGGGACTGGACCCCCAACCTAATCCCCACAAAATCAACAACCTTCGGTGTTTCAAAAAACAAGACACACACACACACACAATTGCGGTTGCCATATATTGCCTTCGTGGCAAACAAACTCATGCACCCACTTCAGATGCTCACAGCTCGCACTCCGAATGTGGCAGTGCCTGAAACGCCTCTGATCGTACAGGGTTTTGGAGGGAGCACTATCAGCCCCATTCAACAGGATGCCAGAACCCCCACTCCCATGGTCACTCGTTTGGGGCGCTACGTGACATATACATGACGGTTTTGTGAACGGGTCCAAGAATATCCAGGAATTACCAGCGAACGAGAGGAAACGCGTCTGCAAGGATCGAAAAGGACCTCACAGCTATGGTACATGGGTGGCAGTCAGAATGAAAACTCCTTTCTTGGACCCCCAAATAAATCTGGAGGACCCTGCTTAGCAAGGGCGGCGCACCTTTGTGGGGTCCTCCAGATTAATCCGCAGTTAGCAAAATTTAACAAATTCAAAGTTGTTGTTGAAACGAAAGGAACCATCATGGGTGAAATTCGTCGCACCCCCCCCCCCCCCGAAACGTGACGCCGCGAAATATTCGACTTCCACGGATTCCCAGCCAGAGCCATGCAAAGCTCATAGCTGGTTTGCTCTAGAGTTCAGATGGAGCCCGACGCCGAAAAGCGAGGCGAGCAAATTGCCACCCGCGAGAAGCGGCAACGGTTTCCTTGTGGTGGCCGTTTAAACATCAACCTCCTTGTCTAATGTTGGCACTTGATTAATAAACTGGACTATAATAATGGATAGTTGTTTTCCTTATTCTGGTTCGCACCCATTGTTGAGGGGGACCAGAATAATTGAAAGCTTTTTGCCTGGGGAGAAAATTCAACACAAAAATCCACAAATCATTTTTTTTATTTTTTTTTTGTAAAAATAAAAAAATAAAAAAAATAAAAAATCCCCCCTCCCAGAAAATAAACTATCAGTTGCTTTACTCAAAAGCATTCTCCTTTCAATTGGTGGCCCACTTGCTTAAAAGCATCCCCTTTCAATTGGTGGCCCACTTGCTTAAAAGCATTCCCCTTTCAATGTTTGGACGTCCCAAAAGTGACCCCACATTATTTTGGCGCATCCATTGTTCAGGGGGGGGAGTCCCTTTATTAATCAGGTTCCAACATTAGTATGGAACCTACCTATGGTCTGTTGAGCAAAAATTGTTGTTGTTTTTTGGCGGAGTACGAATACCCCGTTTCAGTGCTTGCCCTTGAGCCTTGAACACTTCACGACGGCGCTTCTTGCGCTGTTTGGACGGCCGCCTTGGCCTGGGGGAATCCAGCTATCTCCATACGTCTGGAAGCTCAATACAGTTTAACCCATTCTGGGCCTTGTCCATGTTTGCTTGATTCCCGAAACAGCTTCGGGTAAACAACTCTGCTCGTTCGGTCACTTCTCTTTTGGAACCAGGTTGCCAAAGAGCGCAGGTCTTGCAACGAGATGATGGCGGGGAGAGTAGCTATCCTTGACCAGGGATAGAGCGGGGTAAGACTTTGCCTCAAGGATGGAAACGGCCTGGAGAGCAGTGTGCTGCCGCCAGGGAACACAAATGATGATTTGTCACAGACGTGTCAAAGGAAAATGCCGACGGCGCCAAAACAAGCGCTCCGCACGGTACATTTTATTTGGTCTTTAGCATTCCATTTCGATGGGTTCCGTGAAGTGCTAAACTCTATGCGGTGCTCCAATATGGTTCTTGGTGTTATATTGCCGATGTCTACAAGAGTTGCCTTTTTTGGTACCTCATGTTTGTTGGTTTAAAAGGGACACCAAAAGGAAGGCCACCCATTTTGGGGGGTCCCCCATAAGAAGCACCTGGGAGGCTACTTTGCGCTCTGATCTCGCGCGCCTGGAAGTCGGACGCCGGAAGCCCCGCCTGCTGCAGCGTCTGCGTGGGCATCGCCAAAGTGTTCGGGTCCTCGGAGCCCCGCCAAAAAAGACCGATGGAACGTCAACAAAAAGACGGGGGAGGGGGGTCGTCTTTTTAAAGGGACCCTTGTTGGGGTGGTTGTTGTTCTTTCCAGCAAAACCAAAGGGAACACACCACCCATGTTGGGGGGTTCCGATTCCTATGCAAAGACACACTCAAAGGGAGTTGTTGGACCCGTTCAAGGGAGCCTTTTGCTTTCCTTTGGCAAAATGTGGGCACATCTGCGGCACGTTGCCAAACACCGAAATCCCACCCCTTCGGCAACCCCCTCTTCCCCCCCAGGGCGTTTTTTGTTTCTTCCCCAGATAGCTGAAAGCTATAGGGGTTCTAACTTCTAATAAAAAAGGGAAAGTGATTTGCAAGATTGAGGGCCGGGTGCTAGGCGGCATGCAGTTTGGGGTGCTGGTGGAGGTGCTAAGGGGCATCAGTTTGGGGCGCTGGTGGAGGTGGTGTTTTGCGAGATTGACGGCCGGGTGCTAGGCGGCATGTAGTTTGGGGTGCTGGTGGAGGTGCTAGAGGGCATGCAGTTTGGGATGCTGGTGGAGTTTGCTAGGGAGTGCAATTTGAGCGCTGGTGGAGGTGCTGTTTTGCAAGATTGACGGCCGGGCATGCAGTTTCGGGTGCTGGTGGAGGTGCTGTCTTGCGTGATTGACGGCCGGTTGCCATGCAGTTTGGGGTGCTGGTGGAGGTGCTGTTTGCGTGATTGACGGCCGGGTGCTAGCGGGCATGTAGCTTGGGGTGCCGCTGTTTTGCGAGAGTGGTGGCCAGGTGCGGGGTGCTAGTGGAAGTGCTGTTTTGCGAGCTTGACGGCCGGGTGCTAGGGAGCATGCAGTTTGGGGTGTTGGTGGAGGTGCTGTTTGGCGAGATTGACGGCCGGGTGCTAGGAGGCATGTAGTTTGGGGTGTTGGCGGAGGTGCCGCTTTGCGAGATTCACGGCCGAGTGCTAGGGGGCATGCAATTTGGGGTGCTGGTAGAGGCGCCGCTTTGCAAGATTGACGGCCGAGTGCTGGGGGGCATGTAGTTTGGGTGCTGGTGGAGGTGACGCTTGCGAGATTGACGGGCGAGTGCTAGGCGGCTGGAGGCTTTGCGAGAGTGATGGCCGAGTGCTAGGGGGCATGCAGTTTTGGGGTGCTAGTGAAGGCGCTACGAGAATAATGACGGCCGAGTGCTGGGAGGCATGATGTTTGGGTGCTAGTCGGGGTGCTATTGACGGCCGGGTGCTAGGGAGCATGCAGTTTGGGGTGTTGGTGGAGGTGACAAGTGCTAGGGGGCATGTTGGTGGGGGTTCTGTTTTGCGAGCTTGACGGCCGGGTGGGGGGCATGTATTTGGGGTGCTGGTGGAGGTGCTGTTTTGCGAGATGGACGGCCGGGTGCTTGAGGGCACGCAGTTTGAGTTCTGGTGCTTTTGGAGGTGCCGCTTTGCGAGATTGACGGCCGAAATGCTGGGGGGATGCAGTTTGGTGCTGGTGGAGGTGACGGCCGGGCGGTAGGGGGCATGCAGTTTGCGGTGCTGCCTGTGCTGTTTAAGGGCGCTGATGGACAGTGGGTGCTAGGGGGCATTCAGTTTGGCTTGTGCACGTGCTGCTCTGGGGTGCTGTTTGATTGAGGTGCTGGTGATGGCGCAGGCGCATTTTGCGAGATTGATGGCCGCATGCAGTTTGGGGTGCGGATGCAGGTGTGGGGTGCTGTTGCGGTGCTGGTGACGTTGTGGGCGCAATTTTCCTGTTTGATGTGCTGCTGACCGCGCGGGCGCGTATTTCCCAGAAAACTGAAAACCATGCGGGTTCTAACTTCGAATGAAGAAGGGGAACTGTTTTTGCAAGATCGACGGCTGGGAGCTAGGGGGCATGCGCTTTGGGGTACTGGTGCAGGTGCGGTTTTGGGGCGCTGTTCGGGCTGGTGACAGTACGTGGCGGCAGGGTGCTCGGGGACATGTCCGGTGCTGGTGCGGTGATGTTGGGGCTGCTGTCTTGAGGTGTTAGTGAGGGTGCGGGCGCATATGGACGGCAGGGTGCTAGAGCGAGTGCTGTTTGGGGCGCATCATCATGATGCTGTCTGCAGCATCATGATGCTGTTGAATCAATTCGGATGTTGTTGCTGCTCTAAGTGACGTGCGTAATGGTTCGTCTGCGCGTCTATTTAGCGCACCATGCTGAGCGGCTGTGGTATCACCATGATGCTGTCAACATCATCATGTCATGATGCTGTCAACATCAGCATGATGCCGCGGGAACCATTCTGATGCTGAGTCATGGTTCGTAATCTGGGGTCTGTGCTATTGTATTTGTTTTTCAGGAAAGGGCACCTGGCGGTTTCAAGCACAACCAGGGGCCATAATGTTTGACGACAAGCCGCGGTGGGAATGGTGAGTTTTCTGGTTTGTGGTTGAAACTTCGAGATCATCCCACTTCTCGTCCCATCCTGGACCTGTTGACCGAACCGAAAGGATCTTTACCAGTCTTCAAAGGCACCCTCCGAGCAAAGGAACAAAAATATGGAAGGCAATGAAAAACACGGGGGGGGGGGGGGGGGGGGGGGGAGGGAGCCAAACAAACAAAGAAACATGGGAAGAGACAAGACATTGCTGGCCCTTTGCCATGAAGCGAAAGCCGGAACGTGTTTGGGCAAGAACTCACAGAGACGAGAAAACCATGGACGCCCATGCCGAGTGTCGCCAACAGCCCGCCCAGGAACCCTCCCGCCAGGAGTTCCCTGCTAAGACCGTCCGCTTGCCGCTTGCGAAAACATGCAAAATGGGGGAAACACGCATCGTCATCCTAGCACACGGGCAAAGCAAGACGGACAAAAGCCATGGCTTTCCCAACGCGTCTTTGAGCCGTCCCTTCTCTGGAAAGATGTCTTCCAAAACCTGGCGCTGCGTATATTTGTTTCTAAGGGGGAGAAAAGAAGGGGTTCTACCATGAGTGGAGTTGGGTCCCACAAAGCAGATGTATATCATTTGTTCAAAATGATTGATTCACTGCAAGTAACAAGTAGGCGAACCGCACCCTAATTGTACTCCAGTGTGCCGGTTGTGGTCAGCTCCGGATCAACTCAGGTGCTCAAAGGACCCCCCAAAAAGGTGAACATGTTGGGACCAGTACCAAAAAAGGACGAACAAGGGGAAATTGAAAGGTCAAAAGGTCGGCTCTGGGCAAGTGAGTTAACAGACCATGCGGATTATCAGGGGGGAGTGACACATTATTTCTTGTTGGTATTTGGCTGGAAAGGGAAC